TGTTAAACAGTGCTGGACTCTCCAGGAAAACCATGGAGACGCGGGGACAATGAGCCCTCTATGGTCCTTGCTTGGCCGCGGGATGGTCCTTCTTCTCCAGGCTTCAGCAGTGGGCACTGGGACGCGCAGAGGCGGGCGATGAAGACGTCCGCGCGCTTGGCAGCCTGTCCTGCTCTAGAGCGGTCACGGCAGCTCTCCAAGGCAGAAGGTTGGGGAGGGAAATGCAGCCGCTCTTAATTAACCTGTTTTAGATGATGGAGGTGAAGGCTTCATCTCATATGTCCTCAGCTGTGCTGTCGTGGGTGGGTGGAGAGGCCAGTCCTCTTAGGGGTGAGGAGGTCCTCGAAAGAAAGACGCGGGAGCTCCTGCTCAGGTTTGAAGGAAATTAAGGATGTGAAAGGTGGGGTGGAAGAGGGCGCTTAGGAAACCTGGGCTGTGGTTTGCTCCCTCCTCACCGGAATCAAGTGGGTGCAGTGAGGCACTGAGGGGGTCCTTTGCAGAGGTGAAGGGCTTCAGGTGCAAATTTTGGGGCTCTGAAGCAAAGGACTGTCACGGATGGCTGAATTAATCTGCTTTCTCCTTCCCCCGCTGCCAGGGGCTGGTGGTTTCTCTTACAAACGTCTGGAAACCACCTGGGACTCCCAGTCTCTGCTGGTAGCTGCGTTCACCCAAGATAAACCCTGGATGTGTTTATCTTAAGCTCCTGGATGGGTCCCACACCTCCCCGGGGAGCTCTCGTCATTAGAGACGCTTACAAAGCTCTTGGGAGTTGTTGAGACGGAGCAAGCAGGATGAGAAATCCTTCTGGCACAGTTCAAACGATGCTGGGGGTTATTTGGGGACAGAAGAAATCAGTGGTGACTTTGACCCCAAAAGTGCCCTCCTGAGGCACTGAGAGCATCAGGGCGCTGGGGTTCTTTGCCTCCTTGGGGTGTCTCAGTCCTCATATCCCCTGTACCACCAGTTTGCCCCCAAAACAGAGATAACATAGCAGGAGTGCACTATGGCGATATTAATATAGCCATGCATAAATTAGCATTAAATATTAATAAATTTACCATTAAATAGGAATCAGTTAATAATTGGATATTAGCAGAATGATATTAAATAAATTAATAAAGACTGCAAACCATTTTTTTTGTGGTTGACGCTACCTGCCCGGGATCTTTGCCAGCTTTCAGATAAACCCCCCGCCCTCTCGCCAGCTTTTAAAAACCTTTTTTCTGTTTGTTTTTTTTCTCTCCGGCGGCTCCTTCAGCTCCTAGATCTGTTCATCCAGTGGGACTGGTCGACGTACTTGGCTGACTATGGGCAACCCACGTGCAAGTATCTCCGTGTCAACCCGACGACAGCCCTCATCCTGCTGGAAAAGTGAGTGCGGGTCCGGGCACCCAGGGTGGTTCTCACCCCCATCTCGCTTTTGGGCAAACGCGTCTTCTAGCAGCTCATTCCACCACATGTGCGGTGCCTGGAGGGGGCAGCCTGGGGAGCAGGAGGGTCCTTGTGACCCAGTGAGCAAAGCTTTCACCCCTGGGTGGACAGTGAGAGCTCAAATAGAAAAATCCTATTTTATTCTATTTATTCTGGACTAGATGACCTCTAGGGGTCCCTTCCAACCCAAAACATTCTATGATTCCATGATTCTGTTCTGTTCTATTCTGCTCTACTCTACTCTACTCTACTTCATCTATCTCCCTTCTGTTGGATCCATGGAGAGGACCGAGTGCTAAAAGCCCAGCTATGGGACGGGGCAGTGCCTTTAGCTGGCTGTGTGCTCCAGGGCTTGCCCTTAGCAAGGGCACGCTCTTTGATAAGGCTGAATCTGGGCCTGGTGCCAGTCCTACAAGCCAGCCGCAAGGAGGGGAAGCCCATGAGCTTGCTGCAGACCCAAGGAGTGGGATTTGCTTTGCTTGTAACCCCTCTGAGCACACGGGAGAGAAGTGCCACCGGTCACCCAGTGTGGTCAGAGGTGGCCCAGACGACCTTCTCTCTGGTAGACCTCCAGGCTCTGGTTGGGAGGATCAGCCCTACTCCTGCCCCTTTGCTACTGTCAGACCTCACAGCTGATCTTCCAGCTGATATGACAGAGAAGTGACCTGCCAGAAATGATAATTAATGAATTTCCAAGCAGCTCACACCATGAGCGCTCCACTGCTGAGTCTTGCATGGAGGAGCAGGCAGGATAAGCGAGGTTGCAGTCGGATTTGGTTGGGTTTACTGGGAAATCAGACCCTTGGGAGGAGTCTGAGCTGGTTTTTGGAGTTCCTCTCTTTCTCTGTTGCTTGCAGAAGAGGAGATGGCTAGTTTAGAGTTGGGGCTACACTTTTAGAAGACGGACCTTGGTGTGCTTCCAAGCTTTGGAGTTGCATCTGTATTATCTGTGGTCCACGTAAGCACCCCGCCTCCTCTCCCGCAGAGGAGAATAGCTAATTTCACAGCAACTCATGATGGTACGGTGCACAGGGCCTAAATTTAGGGAGTTGCTGTGTGTTGAAGCACTTTCATACATTATAGCATTGGGTTTACATACATATTTATACGTGCTGTGTAATATGTTGTGTTACTCGCAACGTATTCGCAACCTGGCATCCGTGATGGAAAAGCACGAGGTATACTCAGAGCTATCGATAAAATGGTAAAAATCCGAGAGCTTGGACATGAAGCAGCTGGAAGAGCCAGGGAACTGGGAGCAGGCAGTGAGCTGGGATCCGTGGCAGCTGCTGGGAAGGCAGCGGGACAGCAGGAGGGCAGCTCCAAGCTCCTGGCCATTTTCCCCAGGTAGCCCTTGAGCGTACAGCAGCCCTGCTCGGTGGTGGTGTTAAAAACCCACAAAGCCTGGCTCGGCTTGCCAGCCTTCTCCCCAGAAGGGGTCTCATTTGAACGGCAATCGTCACGTATCCCCTTCACTTTCCGGAGGCAGCCCCGGTGGAGTCACCGGCGTGGCGCTTGCGTCTCCCGCATCCTCACGGCGTGGCACCGCCTGCGTGGCATCGCCGGCATGGCATCGCCCGCGTGCTCCGGCAGGCTCTGCCCTGTCTCCGCTTGGGCTTCAAGCCCTTTGGGGAATCTCCGTGCATCATCCACCAGCTCCCCCAGGACTCCGCACCGCCCCGGCCGTAGCCTGATCCGCTCCCCTCCACATCTCCCGTAGGATATCACGAGTGTAAGTATGCTGCTTTTACCCTCACCTTGCAGTGCCTTTATTGTTTGATTGAAATGGAGCACTAAATGATCTAAATGCAAGCAGGCTTTGAAACGGTTCCCGCCGGTAACTTTATCGTCTCAAATGCACTAATTAGAGCTAAAAGAGGAGCTTTTACTCTGTTGCTTTTTTTTTTTTTTTTCTTCCTTATAGGTTAATTTAAACAAACCTTGGCTTTATTGAGGGTG